GCTGCATTCCTATGCCCACCTAAGGCATGCCTCTATGTATTGGCTATCACAGTATTTCAAAAGTGAGGTATTTCTTTAATTATGTACAACCCAAAATGTTGGTGTTTTATATGGATCACAAGTGCAACATTCCTTAATTCTGCTCCTTGTCACAATTGTTAAAGAACCACGTATGTATTGCATGAAAACATGATAACCTTTTCCTCTTAGTTTAAATAAACTCCAAGGTAACTGGATTTCTAAAACACCTTGCTGTTTGCCTGATATCTATTTACCTTAGCAATAATTTTTTTTATGACCCTTTGACTCAAAGTAAATAAAGGTATATTTTATCACTGTTAAAAAAAAAAAAGAACTTTTTTCCATTTCTAAGTCTAATTGAGCAAAGCTAGAGGGTTTAAACTCTATCTGCTGTACCTTTGCTCCATCCTTTGTCCCATCTGGGACTTGAATTTAAAACATTACATGGGGCTAGGGAGATGGCTCAGTAGAATAAGCGCCTGCCTGGCAAATGCAAGGGCCTGAGTTCAATCCCCGGTTCCGCAAAATAAAGTTGTTGTTTTTTTTTTTTGGCGGAACCAGGGATTGAACTCAGTCCTTTGTGCTTGCCAGGGAAGCACTTATTCCACTGAGCCATCTCCCCAGCCCCCCTGCAAAATAAAGTATTGCTAAGCAATACTTTATTACATGCTAAGCCCTTTGTGGTGGTGGTCTTAGTAATATATGGACAGGACCCAAGAACACAACAAACATATTTGCATATATCTACAAGCATCTGTGAGGCTCCAAACTTTTGACCCATTTATAACTTTCTCCTTTTTGGCTTCTCTTAAACAAATTTCTTTCTTTTTTTGTATTTTAGGGAAGGGTCTACAGGGTGTTCAGAGTCTCACTACTAGATCAGACTTATAGCCTGTACAGACTCCCAAGAGCTGGGATTACAGGTGTGCACCACCATGCCCAGTCTCAGTAGCCCTCTCAGGGTACCCCAAGGGGCAGGGGGCCAGCATGACAGGTTGGGGGACTAAACCCCCGGCCCATGCCTCCCTGCAGGTGCTTTAATCCACTGAGCTATTTGGCTGGCCCATCTTAAATGAAGTATGTACTTGTTTTGTTCTGCGGAACTGGGGATTGAACTCAGGCCCTTGTGCTTGCCAGGCAAGTGCTTATTCTACTGAGCCATCTCCCTAGCCCCAGTTTTTTAAATGTATTTTTAAGGTCAGCAGGCCTCCATGCCTCATGGTTTCCACCTGGTAATTGTCGTGTTTTTTTTTTTTTTTTTTTGGCAGAACCAGTGATTGAACTCAGGCCCTTGCGCTTACCAGGGAAACGCTTATTCTACTGAGCCATCTCCCCGGCCCCACCTGGTATCTGTCAACAGCACACTCCAGTGCTATTTACTCACCAATCTGTCCCCCCACCCTGTTGCTAGCAAAATTCTGGGGGACGTGCCCCCTACATCGCTATCTCCTTGCTGGAGTCCCTGTTGCAGGCACCAAATGTAAGGATCTGTTGGCTCAGGGTAGCCCCGGGAGAAAATGGCGAGAGGACTCAGAAAATAAAGACGAGATGACAGCTGAGGTCGGGTGGCGGACCACCCGATAGGCAAAGGTCCCTGAGCCACAGCAGGGGCTTCATTCATACCTCGGCGGAGTCACAGGAGACAGCGCTGCCCAGCGCCTACCAGCCAGCGAGGGCCAGGCAGGGCGTTCTCAAGCCCGAGATAGCCGGACTGAGGCTCCTCCTGCCTCCCACACGTGCGAGCAATTTAGCGACTCCCAACACAGGTGTGCTCTGCAGGTGTGTGCCAGGGATCTGCGTGTGGTCATGTGCTCTTTGCGTGTGTCAGACATATATGCATGGGCTTGGGATGCCTGAAAGGACACAGATGTGAGCTGTGCAGGGGCACGCAGCCTGGGTGACCGTGGTCCCCACTAACTACGGAAACCGCCCGGGGCGCAAGGACGGCACCCAGGGGTCTGCATGAATTGTGTGAGCGCTGGTGGTGTGTAGTGATGGGCTTTATGCGTGGGGAGTGGGGGGTGTGTGCGTATGTGTGGTGGCTTTGTGTGTGCTTACACGTGTGCTCTGGGTGAGACTTGGCTACTTTTCTCTCCTTGCTGGGACAGAGTATCTGACACATGAGTTAAAGGCACGAGGTTTATTTTGCTCACAAATCATACAGGTTTTCAGCACCATCGGCCGGTGCAAGGCAGGGCAGCATACGGCAGTGGCCGCAGTTCACGATGCCGGAAAATAGAAAAAGCAGCAAGTCAGGGACAGCCTCCTGGCTGTTACCGTGGGCAGGCTCCCCACCCCAGGGGGGCTGTAGCACTCACGAGTTTAAAGCCAGAACTAGACCATGAACCAAGCTGTGGTCAACCATCACAGGAAAGATGACACGTCTCCGACACCGAGGCACCAACGTGAACAATACACCCACCACCTCTCCAAGGCTTAAGTATCCCCTTACGGGGAAAGGCACACAGTCCCTCGGCACAAGCGGCCGAAGTCTGTTTCAGCATGGCTGAAAGTCAGAGTGCAAGATCTCAGAATTCTGAGACTTGAATCCAACTCTTAGGTGTGAGCCCCTAACTTGCATAAATGAAAGTTAAACACCTCTAACATTCAATGGGACAAGACAGACACTTCAATTTCAAAAATGGCAAATGGGCCAGGGAGATGGCTCAGTGGAGCAGGCATTTGCCTGGTAAGCGCAAGGGTCTGAGTTCAATCCCCGG